GTTGAAAAGTTAAAAAATCAATCGAACGAATTCGTTTTGCAAATTTTTTTCTTCTTTCATTTCGTAACCTTTTTTTTTTTCCTTTGACGTTTTTTTCCATTCCTTTCCTTTCCTTTTTTTTTTTGTAAAATTTGATTTTTATTTTCGAATATTAAAAAAAGAAAATAAGAAAAAAAAAACGTCGTCTGTTATAAATATTTTTTTTTTTTTTTTTTTAATTACCGTCAAACGTCGTCATGGAATTAGAGAATAAAATTTATCGATCGATAAATTTTTTATTAGATATAAAAAGATAAAATGAAACATTTTAATCCGTTGATTTTGTTTTAGCAGAAACACCCACACGTTATATTTGAAGCGAGAGCTAAACAAAATAAAGGCTGTGCAAATTCTGGAAATCTCGACTGGAGAAAAAATCCGCGTAAAACAAAACACGTGAGTGAATTAATAGAAGAAGCGGAAACGATATTAGGTTTAAGGTACAGAAGAGACTCAAATTTTAGTCATAAAGAAAAATTATTTAGTTTAAATAGAACAAAATATAAAAAATTTAACGAAAGTGGCGGTAACGGTAATTACGATAATAAAAACGACGATGAGAACTTTAATAATGATGATGATGATAATGATGACGTCGGCGTCGACGTCGATGGCGACGGTGACAGCGACGACGACGGCGCTTATAAAAAAAATGATAAAGAATCGAAAACGGGAAATGATTATTATTCTAAAATAGAAAATAATAAAAAATTTGAAAAATTCGTTTTGAAAAATGTTTTTCAACAAAATGTCAGATATAAAAGAGACGTTAGAGAAGCTACTAAATACGTTGAAACCGCTCTGGTACTGGACAAAGCAATGGTAAGTTTTTCTAAATTTTTTTTTTTTTGTACTGGAGAAAAAAAAGGAAAAAAAAGAAAAACACCATTCGATAGAAAAACTTAAAGTCGTAATGAAAAAAAAAAAACTATTTCCGTTTAGTTTTTCCTTTTTTTTCGGTAAATACTACTACTTTCGAGTAAAGTTAATTTCCGGTTTTTGAGAAAACCTTAAGTTTATCCAAAAAAAAAAAAAAACAAAAAAACTTTAAATGAAATTTATTTTTTAAATCAATGAAAAAAAAAAAAAATTAAAAGAATATAAATTTAATTTAATTTTTGTCCAGTTTGAAAAAAGAAACGGAAGTACGAGAGCTGACGTCATACACGATGCCATACAAGTTGCCAACATTGCCGATTTGGTAAGAATTTTATTTTTATTTTTTTTCCTTGTTTTTTTTTTTTTTTTTTGATCGAAATTAAATTTTTGTGATTTTGTCCGCCATTTTTTTTTTTTTTTAGTATTATCGAGCGCTCAACACGAGAGTTTCCATTGTCTATATAGAAACGTGGCAAAGCATAAATAAAATAACAATTGATAAGACTCAAGATATCAGTCGAGCTTTGCTCAATTTTAACGATTATACCTCGAGAAAAATGTTCAAAATAGACAAAGACACAAGTCAATTATTAACGTGAGTTTATCATCATCATCATCATCATTATTATTATTATTATTTGTAAAAATAAAATCATTTTTTAAATTTAAAAAAAAAAAAAAACGTAACATTATCGAATTCAAAGTTTAAAAAAAAAATAATTCAAAGGAAAAGATTTTTTTTTTTTATTTGGGGAGGAGGGGAAAATTGGAAAAGGAAAAAAGGAAAATGTCAAAAAAAAAGTGACAAAAAATAAAAAAAAAGGAAAAGAGGAGAAGGGAAGGAAAGGAAAAGGGAAGAAAAAGGAAAAAATGGGAAAAAACTTGTCGGAAAGATAAGTAAATACAATATTTGAGGGAAAGAAAATTGGGATCTTTTCACCTTTTTTTACCTGTTTTTTTCTCTCTCTCTTTGTATCCTCTTTTTTCTCTCTCTCTCTCTCTTTGCACTCTCAAACTTGCCTTTACAAAACTGGTTTTAAGGATGACTCCATCAATATTGACGTATTTTCATGTTTTTCACGTTACTTAAAGTTAAAATGAATTAGAAGGCGGTGAACTTTACCTTTTTTTTTTTTATTTTCGTATTAAAATAATTTTTTTTCCGGTTTTTTTAGAATTTCTAACGAATAAAAATAAAACAGAAAGAGAGAGAGAGAGAGAAAAAACAAAAAATTTTCAAATTATTTTAAAAAAAAAAAATTTTTCTTTCAGTGGTGAGTCATTTATCGGTGGTGAAGCTGGAATGGCAGTTCCGGAAGCTGTTTGCACAACTAAATCGGTTGGTATTTCCGTCGATGTTAATACCTACGAACCTCACATTTTGGCGGCAACAATGGCGCACATGATCGGACACAATATCGGAATGGGGCACGATGATGGGAGTGAGTTTTAAATATCCATTTTTTTCCATCTTCTTTTACCCTTCGGTTGTTGTTTGTACGACGATTTGATTCGTTTTAGGAGAAGAATGTTATTGTCGAGATTGGCACGGTTGTCTTATGGCTCAGGGAATTGCCGGATTAGAAAATGTACAACCGTATAAATTTTCAGACTGTTCTAAAAGTGATTATATCGATTCTCTAAGAATCGGTCACGGGATTTGTTTGTTAAATAAACCCAACGAGGTAAATGATCAATCAATGGTAAAATGATGATGTTAATAAAAAAATTTTCCGGATATTATTACCGGATATAATTTTTTTTTTTTAGTTCGATTCTCATAGAAGTTGCGGAAATGGCATAGTTGAAGAAGGAGAAATGTGCGATTGTGGTACGATCGAAGAATGTCACGAAATCGATCCGTGTTGTGATCCTATCACTTGTAAACTTACCAGCGAATCTGAATGTGCCAGTGGTCCTTGTTGCGAAAACTGTCGCGTAAGTTTTTATTATTTTTCTCTGGGAATTTTCCCTCCTGGAATTTTCCAATTAATATTATTAATTTTCAAACTTAAAGTTGAGATCGAGAGGAGTGACGTGTCGTGACGCCGTCAACGAATGCGACTTACCAGAATATTGTAACGGAGAAACCGGATTTTGTCCGGTTGACATACATAAAAAAAATGGTAGCCCTTGCTCTCAAGATTCCGGTTATTGTTTTAACGGTGTTTGTCCGACGCTCAACCTCCAATGCGAAGCCATTTGGGGATACGGTGGCATAGCTGCCGACAAACAATGTTTCGAACAATTTAATTCGAAAGGTTCACTTAACGGTCACTGCGGAATGGATGAAAATGGTCAATATATAAAATGCGATCCGGAAAATGCTCGTTGCGGATCGTTACAATGTCAACTTGGTAACAGGCATCCGGTTGCTGCTGGAGTCGATCAACTTTTCTCCAGGACAATAATATCAATCAAAGGAGTCGAATACGAGTGCAAGTAAGTTTATCTTCTACTAATTTATATCGTTTCCCGTGTTATATAATTAAAAAAAATTGAATTTTTTTCTCTATCTTTTTACAGATCGATAAGTGCCAAAATTCAAGGTCAAAAAAATATACCAGTTGATGGATTAGTAAGAGACGGTACTCCATGCGGAGATCAACTGGTAAGAAAAAGAAAAATCTAGAAAAAAAAAAAAAAAGAAAGAAATTTTTTAAGCCGAACAAATAAAAAATTTTTTTTTTTTTATTTTATTCCCCAGATCTGTATCAATCAAACTTGCACGAGCATTTTTTTACATTTAGATTCAGTGAAGTGCCCTAGTAATCATAACGATCTGGAATGTTCTGGACATGGGGTGAGTTTTATTTGAATAACCGGAAATTAGAAAACAGTTTTCATGTTTGTTTAAATTTATTTTCGTCAATGCCCGAAGCAATCCGAACACTCATTTCAATATTACAAAAAAAAAAGATTTTAAATTTATGACTTTATCAAAAAAAAAAAAAAAAAAAAATTCTCTTTAGAAACAAACAAACACAACAACAACAACAAACATTGTTATATTTTTTTAAAACGATAAAATAATATCTTCTGCTTGTAACACATTTTTTTTTCCTGTTGTTTGTAATTAAAGGTTTGTTCTAATATCAATAAATGTCACTGCGAATTGGGTTGGAGCGGTCCAGATTGCTCAATACAATTAGAAGTTGATGAATCTAAATCGAGTTCTCCATCTTCGACTGGAAAAACTCCAGCATCAAAAGAAGATTTAAAAGCCATATTAGAATCGCAAATGCAAAAAAAAGTTACGCCATACGGTAAGATATATTTTTATTTAATTAACTTTTAAAAAAAGAAAAATAGAAAATTCTTTTCACGCATAATAATTAATGGATTTATAATTTTTTTTTTGTTTTGACGCCATATTGAAATTTATTTTTAAATATATATGGTGGTGGAGGTATAAAAAAAAATGAAAATTTCGACTGGAGTCGGAATTATAATTTGAATTTAATTTAATTTTTCTCTTTTAAATGAAAAAAAAAAAAATAATAATAATGAAATTTGTTTTTTTTTTTTTTTTAAATATTTTTCTTTTCCAGGCGGAAATAATAACAATTTATCAACTTTAGCAATGGTTTTTATACTTGTCGGAGTCGTTAAAGGAGTTTTTATCTGCTTTACTTTAATGGCCGTTTGCTACAGGTACACACACACACACACACACCTCCTTCAAACACACAACACACACACACTCACTCACAAACAAAAAATATTTGAAATACTTTTTAAACCTTTTTACGCCATAACTATTCCTACTACTACTACTACTACTACTACTACTTATCTCCTACATACCTCGAATTAAAAATAAATCCTTATAGAGCACTTTAATATCCTATCACGATATGGATTTATTATTTATTGTGACAAGAATCAACATGGAGGTAGTTTTGTGGATTTAATAAATATATTGTCATCTTGTTGTGTTGCCTGCCTGACTAAAAAAAAAGAAGAGAAAATTTTTTTGATGTTTTTTTTTTTTTGTATTTGTTTTTTTTTTTTTAAGTTACAAAAAACGAAGGGTATGACGTCATGTTTTGTTTTTTGTTTTTATTTTTATAAATTTTTTTCAGAAGCTCGTTTGTACGCATTGATGTTGCTGCGTGTGTCTGTGTGCAGTCGTTGCCTTTGTTCAGAATATATATATATATATTTTTTTAAATGTTTTTCTGTACAGTTTTGTTGTTTTTTTTTTTTTTGTTTTGCCAGGTAAGATTTTTTTTAAACAACAACAACAGCAACAACAATAACAAAAAGAAATTCTTTATTATTTTGATTTTTTTTTAAATTAACACGTACTTATTTATTATTATTATTATTTTAACGTTAACGATACATAATGATGTAATGTTTAGCATTATTTATTAATTTATTAATTTATTTTTATGTATTATTAATAATTAATAACGTACATATATACATACATAAAATTATTATAAATAATTTTTTATTTTTTGCTTTCTGTCGTATTTGCTTTACTGTATATACAATTATTATTATTATTGTTGTTTTTATTACTGATAGAAAAAAAAAATTAATTATTTATTTATTTTCTAACCTAACTGTCGTTACAATAATAATAATTATTTTTATTATTATTATGTTCGGTATAAAAGAAAATTTTTTTAAAAGGCGGAAAATTTTTTTTTTAAAGGCGCGCGCAAAACAAAACTGTACAGAAAAAAAAAATTAATAATAAATTATTAATAATTGATTTTCATGTAAATTAATACAACTAAATGATTTGTCATTATTATCAGGTACGTTTTTATTTATTTATGTAAAAAATAAAAAATTTTTTTTTTTTATTAGTTGTTTTATTAAAACAGTCACGGAATTGTACAAAAAAAAATGAAAAACAAAAACAAAAGAAAAAAAAAAGGAAAAGGATTTTTTACAATTGTTTCCGGTTTTCATCAAAAGGATTTCAAAAGGACGAGAAAATTTTTATTATTATTATTATTTATTTTGGTATTTTCTGGTTATTTTATAAAAGTTAAATTACAGGTGTGATGATTACTTTAAAATGGGGCGTCTCACAAATTTTCATTTGTGAGAAACTTTTTCTTTTTTTTTTGTTTTGTTATAACAAAAAGTTTTTCCTTTTCCTTCTTTTACAGAAAATTATCATAGTACTAATACTGGGTTTTTGGTAGGAGTGCTGATGTCTGTGGTTGGGGGGGTTTTCATCCTGTTTGCTCTCATGGCACTGTGCTACAGGTCGGTGGTTGTACACAAAAATTTCTCGCTTTGCTTGAGGTGGGTCCACTTTACCGTTAAAATTAGTTATAACATTTTGTATTATTGCCGCCACTCACTCACACACACACACACACACACAAACAAACACAAACACACACGAACAACACAACACGATAAAAATAAATATCAAACAACAACAAACAATTTTTTTTTTTTTTTAACATAAAAAAATTTAATCAAAGGAAATATATATATGTAGACATTTTTAGTAGATTTAGATCTCTTCTTCTTTTTTTTCGTTATCAACGATAAAAAAAAAAAAACAAAAACAAAACAGAAAAAAAAAATTTTCTTTCCTTTGACAAAACAAAAACAAGTGAGTTAAATTTTTAAAAAAATTATTGTTATTATTAATTAGAATGTTTAACTAAAAAAAAAAAAAAAAAAACTAAAAAATCTTTTTATTAACAAAAAAGTAAAACCGGATGTAGTTACTTACCCCCCCCCCCCGTTCCGAGCTATTTGTTCACGCAGCTTTTATTTAGAAAAATAATAATACTTATTATTATTATTAATAATAAATAACTTACGTACATAAATAAATAGATTTTTGAAAAATAATATCGCTGTTGCTATTAATTTTATAATAGGCTATAATGGTAGTATGAGGATATTATGCTTATTATATTGCTAAAAATTATTAGATTTATTATTATTATTATTATTATTATTATTATTATTGTTAATTAATTAAAATTACTTAAGTAATAGTTTTATTGATTATTAAAAAAAATAATTAGACAGTAAGGTGTGAAAATAATTAATTAATTAATTTAAAATAATTTAGTTTTTTTTTTTTTTGTAAAATTATTTATTTAAACAATAGATGGCATTGATTTAGAATATTAGGTTTATTATGAAAAAAAAAAAAATTAGAAAATAGAATTTTACGAAAGCTAATTATAAAATAAAAATAAAGTTTTCTAATTTTTTTTTTTTTATTAATTCATCTTCTAAAAAAAAAAAAAAATTTGCTTTTGCTGCATAGAGCACGGTAAGATTTATTATTATTATTATTATTATTATTGTTATCGTTTATCATTTTAACAAAAAAACATTCATTGTGTGGATATGAGATTGTGTCTGTTTATTATTATTATTATTTTTTTTCGTTTTATGTTGCGCACACACAAACAACACTCACATACTACTACTTTTGATGTTGATCCTTTCCCGCGATATTCCCCCCTCGCTCCACGCCCCCTCTCTTTCTCTCTCTCACACACAAAAACAATAATAATAATTTTCCTTTTTCATAACAAAAAAAAAAACTAAAGTGCTCAAAAATAAAAAAACCTTTCATATCATTCAAAAAAAAAAAACTTTTTTTTTCCATTTTTTTTTGCTTTTGGCTGTTTTTCTTCATATTCATCTTATTATTATTATTTTATTTAATTCATCTTTATCATCATCATCATTATTATTATTATTATTATTTGCAAATTCTTAATTTTCCTTTTTTCCATATTGTTTTTATTTTTTTGTCTAAAGGAAAAGCACAATGCCTAAATACGAGCCTCCTAATATTAAGAAACCAATGTTGAAAAAAACGAGCAGCGCATCAGCAACAGAAGACACGTCCATTGATTCTGTTAATAAGATTCTTACATTTGGAAACATGCCCAGTTACAGGTAAGTATTATTATTATCGCTATCATTATTATTATTTATTAAAAAATAATTGACGAGAAACGAGAACAAAAATAAATATTATCAATTATCACATCTGCTTTTTTTGGTAAGTTGCTTTGATTTTTTATTTATTTATTTACATAAAAACTATTTAATAATTTTTTATTGTTAATAAACTTTTTATTATTATTACTAATAGCGTAGCAGAAGAAATCTCAAGTCTTTTTGTTTTTTTTTTTTTTTTTTTTTTGAAAAATTGTTTATTAACAATAAGCAATTTTGGCAATTTTTCACGAGTTTTAATTTCTTTTGTCTTGATTGTTTGTTATAAACAAAAAAAAAATCAAAGCGACTTTTTTTTATAAACAAAAAAAAAGAAAAAAGAAAAGTTTAAAAAAAAAATTTTTTTTTTTTATAATTTTTTCAGCCGTGGAGATTCGCAACGTGTTTTATTTTGTCCTGGAAATCATAGCGATCAACAAGCAACAGCTCATATACTGTTAGTACATTATAACAAAAAAACGATTTTATTGTTGTTGTTGTTGTTGTTGTCGTGGTTGTTGTTGAATTATATATGTCGTGTAAAATTGCCAAATTGCTACTCTAAACGTTTTTTTTTTTAATTGAATTATTATTATTAATTTAAATTAAAATTTTTCTTTAAATAATTTTTGTTTTAGCGAGCATAAAAGTCAACAATTAAAAAGAGGAACAATAGGATCGGGTAGCGAAGAAGATCCAACCATTTCCGGTAAATATATATCTGTTCATGCACGAGTGCACATTTTTGTAATTTGAAAACACACACAAAACAAAACAAAAAACAAAAAACTTGTAGGTGAAGAAGAATCTGTTGCTTTTATAGATATACCTCCAAACAATCTGTCCAAACTTCCTGAAAAAGGAATACTTAAAAAACCATATGGCTCAATTGGAGAATCTAAAGAAAAATGGTCTGAAGATTCACAAAGTGATAATCAAGAAATTCTTTCTCAATCTGATAATAATGTCGGAGATGTGAGTCATTTGTTTAAACAAAAACAATTTGTTGTAATTTTAAATAATAATAATAAATTTGATTGTTTTCAGAGTACTGCCACAATGTCAGAGGTTGAAAGAGCCTTAAAAAATTTAAATGGATATCACGAAGATATATTAGAAGCATTAAGAACTGCTGCTTCGCATTCAACTCATAGAGGACCACCCGGTGGATTGGGAATGCACACTCCAAGTGGATCCTCGAGTTTATTATCCGAAGAAATTCTAAGAAAAAGTCTTTTAGATAGACGATCGTCCAGAGGAGGATCTCAGGTTCGCGTGTTTTTCTTCTTAATAACAAATTTTTTTTCCGTTTCATATTTATTTATTTTATTTTATTTTAGGAAAAAATATGTGATCACGGTCAAACTCACACAGTTTTAGTGGATTCACATAGAAGAATAGACGATGAGGATGAAGAACTTCCTCCATCTTGTGGTCCTATTAGAATTAGAAATTTAGAAGATCTCGTTCGACAGGTAACGACGGATATTATTAAGAAAAACAAAGAGAAGAAACATCAAGAAGAATTATTATTATTATTATTTATTAATTTCAGCTGGAACATCATTCAGCACGACATATGAGTCCTTCCGGTTCGGAAGATATACGCATGTCTGAAACAGAAGCAGATAGGCACTACAGATTAGAAGCATCCGATCCACAAAGGTGGGTTTAGTTTTCTTATCACTTTCGCATTATTTTAAACTTTTAAATAAACGCGCCAAAAATTTTTTTTTGTTTTAATGATAAGTGTGAGAACGCGAGGACAAAGAGGTGAAGACGAACCTAGGTTCGTTTACGGAAGGTATAGGCACCCGAGTACGACGGGAAGAGCGCATTCTTCTCCACATTCTCATCAGCACACTCACGGATACATGCAAGAAGAAGAAGGAATTTACGAATCCGCTGATCATGACAGAGTCGTTGATTGCGGTGATACGCCCGATAGCGAAAGGTAATTATCATTATCATTATTATTATTATTAACTTTGGGTATAATAACTTCCTGTCAAAACTCAGTTATTACCAAAATGAAATGGAAAGATAACTGAGAAGGAAGTCACAAGGGATTATTTTATAATTCTAGTGATGAATTTATTCAAGCTCAACCAGCACTAGTGAGGAGCGCTAGCGAGGAACTCGTGCCTGGAGTCAGCGTCAGCGGCACCGGAAGCGGCTCTGGGCACCGCAGCAGGCACCACCGAGAGAGCCAACAATTAAACACGTCGTCAGGGGGAATGTCCCAAAGAGAATATTACCCGTCACCCCTTAGTAGTACCGATTCGGACGATTCAAACAACGATAGTCCATCCATGGCTCCGGAATACAAACACTGATAGTGAATCAAGGTTGGTCATCGGACCGGTGCTGATGTCTGTGTCTTGTCTCTTTTCGGTAAAACAAAACATTATATTTTCGCTGATAAGAGAATTACGCCTTTATCTAGGTACGATACTCTTCCGGTGAGATTTTATTTTATGAAAACGTCACACGTTTAAATAAATATAAAAATGTATATATTAACAATTATTTATTAATGATAATGATAATAATAGTAATAATAATAATAATAATGCTTGGGATGCTTTTAATTAAAGTGATACTCGATGCCATTTTCTTTATCAATAAACAAATAATAATAATAACTAAATTATTTACGAAAAAAAAGAAACATACGTAATACCTAAAACATTCCTTCCAAAGACAACAAACGAACCAATGATTACTACAACATATTATTATTATTATTATTATTACTATTATTATTAGTCATTTTAATGAGTCAATTTAGGCAAATAAGCAAATTCAAATTGCTCAAAAAAATTTTTAAAAAGCATCCTCCACCAGCATTTTTAATTAAACAATAATAAATAATTAATTAAAGAAAAACAGAGAATTTTTGTACCTCTGATAAAAACGGTTATAAAAAAAAACATAAAAAACAAACGAAAACATAAAAACATAAAAAAACATTTTTTTGTTTTTTTAATATTTATAGTAATTATAAATGACGCAAATAATTTTTAATTTAAAAAAAAAATTGTTTTCAAGTATAGTCCAACAAAAAAAAAAAAACAAACCGTAAAAAAAAAACAATCGGACAACAAAATAAAATAAATAATTAACGTAGTGATCGTAGTGCCAACTTATAAAAAAAAAAAAAAATTTAGTGCGACCACTGGAAGTTGTTTTGAGTGTGTTGATGATAAGTTAAAGTACAAAGTGTTCATTCATTCCTAAGTGTTTTTTAAATTTATAAAAATAAAATAAAATAAATTACTTACTTATTATTAAATAGTAATAACTATTAAATCGCGATAATAATGAAAATTATTATAAATTATATATATATATTCGCATGAATTATAAATAAATAAATAATAATAATACTAATAATAATAATAATTCCCGGTAAAGAAAAAAATTAAAATTTTCTTTTTTTTTTTTTTAATTTTTCCTCCTTTTTCGTTTTCTTTTGTTTATTTATTTATTTATTTAATTAAAAAAATAAAAAATTTATTAATTAATAAAATTATTAAATAAATAATATTAAAATTTATTTTAAAAAATAATTTAACGTCGGATGACGATGATGATGATTATTATTTTTTTAAAAATTAATAATTTTTATTTGTTTATTTTTTAATTAATTTTCTTTTTTTCTTTAATTAACTTTATTTATTTATTTATTAATAATTTTAATCGTTAATAAATTTTTATTTATTTATTAATAGCATTCATAATACATAACGTAAATAAATATATAAATATAAATATATATATATATATATATGTATAAATATACATGTATAATACAGGGTGTATAAAAGTAAGAAAAGTAATAATAATAATAATAATAATTAATTAATTAATGATAATGATAATGATAAAAAAAAACTTTAGGCTTAAAACGAAAAAAAAAAATGTTTAAATCCCTCCCACTCCCACTCATTCCTCCCCTCGAGGTTTAATTTTTTTTTTTTATAGGCATTTAATAATATTCAACCGATTTTTGTTTTAATCACCCTCTAATCCCTTCTTATTCCTTTTTTAATCCCTTATTAATACTTTTCCCATATAATTTTTTTTTTGATCGTTTTTGTTCGTTTTTTAAAAAAATCAAAACGAAACTGTTGACAAAATAATATTAATAATAATAATAATAATAATAATAATAATAATAATAATAATAATAATAATAATAATAATAATAATAATAATAATAATAATAATAATGTCTAAAGTGAAAATTTTTTTTTTCTTTAAAAAAAAAAGTAATTAAATAAATAAATAAAAATAGATATTAAATAAATAAATTATTAATAATTAATTGACCAAAATAAAATAAAATAAATAAAAAAAAGAAAAATTTTTAGTCGAGTCCCCTCCCCTCTCCCCCTAAGGAAAGAAAAGAAAAAAAATAATAATAATTTTTTTTTTTATTAGTCGATTTGTTTTATTTTATTTTTGTTTTTCTGTTAATAAATAAATAAAAATTTATTTATTATTGTTTTATTATTATTATTATTATTATTATTTACACACGGAAATTAATATTGAAAAAATCGGTTTATTAAACAATAAATAAATAAAAAGAAATGTATAATGTTTCTCGCTATATTGAATATTTTGTAGGTTTTTAGATAACCGTAGAAATTTATTAAAACAATTAATTATAATAAATAAAAAAATTATTTATTTATTTATTTGTTATTAATTAATTTTATTTATTTATTATTATTATTATTATTATTATTTTTAATTTATTTGATTTTATTATTTAAAAAAATAAACAAACAAAAAAAAATATATATATATATACATATATATTATAATTTTATTCCTTATTATGGAAATTTTTACAAAAAAATTAATATTAATAATAATGATTATGATTTGTTAACTAATATAAATAAATAAATAAATAAAAAGAATTAATAAATTTTGCTTTTTTTATTTTATGCGAGATATTTAACGGGGAGGAGGGAGGGGAAGGTGGGGGAGGAAAGTGAGAGGGGAAGTGGAAGGAAGACAGTGGGAGGGGAAGTGGGGTAGGGAGGGAGGAGAAAGTAGGAGGGGAAGAAGGCGTGAGAGAGGGTGGGGAAAGTGGGAGGGGAAGTAGGAGTGAGAGAGGGTGGGGAAAGTGGGAGGGGAAGTAGGAGTGAGAGAGGGTGGGGAAAGTGGGAGGGGAAGTAGGAGTGAGAGAGGGTGGGGAAAGTGCGAGGGGAAGTAGGAGTGAGTAAGGGTGGGGAAAGTGGGAGGGTTAGAGAGAGGGGAAGTGGAAGAGAGAGAAGTGTGGAGGGGAGTGTAAATAAACGGTCGATTCTTGTGGGATGTATGAAAATTTTCCAGAAAAATTATCCTGTGGGTCGTTGTTTAATTGTTTTTATAATTATGGGGAATGATAAAAGGTCAAAATGGGAATTTAACCTCTTATCATCACCGAAGGTTTCCACGTGGTTGAAATAAAAATTCAAATTAAAAAAAAAAAAAAAATAATCGATTAAAACTTAATCGATTATTTACATAGAGAGAAGCAGACGACGATTTATTTTTAAAGAAATTCCTATGACGAAACAAATACGTCATTTCCGGTCATAAAAGAAAACATGTCGTCGTTATTGTCATTGTCGTTGTAGTCTTCGTCGGTTACGGATCTTTTTTATTTTTCGATGGATTTTCACGGAGAAAAAAGGTAAGTGAAAATTTTTTTTTTTTTAATAATAAATTTAATTAATAACATTTTTTTATATAACAAAATTTAATTTATATATATATATACATATGTAAAAAAATTATCGTAATTATTATTATTATTTTGAGCTTTTTTTTTTATTTACATTTAAAAAGAAAAAAAATATTGCTCTTTTCTTTTTTATTTAAATTTTTTTAAAAATGAGCAACTGCTCTTTCTGTAGCAGCCTCGTATCTTGATATCGATTTAAAGTTTCTAAAATTATAACCTATAATCATTAATTTGCATAGTAAAATAGTTCATTAATAATAATAATAATAATTAAAATAAATACATTTGCTTACTGTGATAAAGTGGACGTGGCACCAATTCCGGAAGTCTAAGTTTTTCTCTTTCGCTTTCTGAACATTTCCGATGTCTTCTATACGATGATGATGATAACATTTCGTTCGTTTGATATTTTTGCCTTTCCGATGATGAAACGTGAGGCGACGATTCCGTTCTGCTCATAGATCCTAAATCCGTATCCGAATCCGAACCTAAACTATCGTATTCTTCGCTTTCTGATTTTAACGTTTTCGATTTACGACGGTGTCTCCCTCTCGAGACTCCGTATCTATCCGTGCTCTATTTTATTATTAAAAAAAAAAAAAAAACCGCGTCTTAGCCGAAACAAACAAACAAACAACAAACAAATAACGCTTACTTACGTGTTTCGTTTGAATTTTACTTATGTAATTTGATTTATTTGGATTTCCGGCCATGTTTTCCTGATCGGGAAGATGAAATGTTGCGTATGGGCAAATTTCTTCCGCGTATTCTGTAAATTTTTATTTTATTTAGTTTTTGGTAATAAAACCTTTCGAATAATAATAATAATAATAATTACCAGGTATGAGTTCTAACGAATTCATATTTTTCATCGGCGATTGAGTAACTTTATTGATGGACGCGTAAAATTTTTCTCTTTGTTTTAAATTTTGAGTGTTGTCGAAACTTGCGGATGTTTGCATGTCTTGCAAACAAATATTTTCTCTCGACGAACCTTTTTAAGAAAAAAAAAACCGTTAAATATAAAAATATGTCGTTCGTTATATAAATAAAATAATAATAATAATACGTTTTCGAATGCAGAAACAAATTCCGACGGCGGCAAAAATTAATAAAATAAGTGAAACGACCCCCAAAACAATGGCTTGAGTTTCGAGATAGAAAGATGTTGAGTCGTTATTTTCTGCAGCTGCTGATTTTGGTGAATTTGGACCTGAAAAACCGTAGACCAGTTTTACTTTTAGAAAAACCATAAATGAATGAATGAATGAATGAATGAAATTTAAAATAACCGTTTTCCATTGAAAGAGTTGAAAAAACGTATTCTTGCGATGTAGGGCCGGCACTATTATATGCCGTGACCTTGACGACATATTCTTCTCCAGGTGTTAAATCGTTTAGAATGAAATTATTTTGAGGTTTTAAATGATTGAAAACTAAAAACCAATTATCCGGAGGTTGTCTGCATCTGAGTGAAAAATGAGTTAAATCGCATCCGTTTTTATTCCACGTTTGAAGGTGAAGAGTCACGTGGGTCGTATTTACGGTTACGAATTGTTCTTTGGATGGTGCTATAGGACGAAATCCTTTCGTCGTAATACTGTTTAATTTACTTGCCAAACCGCTACCAATTTTATTGAATGCTGTTTTCAAAAAAAATTTCAAAATTAAATTTCGTATTCGTTTTTTTTTTTATTTAAAATGAATACCAAAAAAATTACCGATGAGTTTTATCTGATAGTTGCTACCACAATCCAAACCTTCCATCAAATACGTATTGGTGTGAGGTTCCAGAATAAATTCTTTCCAGTCGTTCCCTTCTTTTTTCGAAGAAAGAATAAATCCTCTTATTATTGCACCTCCGTTATCTCCTTGTTTCCATTGAAGTTGTACCGAATTCGATGTAACCGATGTGGCAAGGAGTAATGGAGACGTGGGAGGAACTAAAAAAAAAAAAATATAAAAATTTCCAGTACTTATTATCCAGTCGAACTTTAAAAGGAAAAGTAACAAAAATTTTTACTTTACCTTGAACGATGATAGCAAAAACTATGTGATCCGATCCTAAATTATTTTTAACGTGACAAGAATAGTTACCCTCGTTTGTTCTTGCTATATTTTGTAGTATAAGCGACTTCTCTCCGATTGTTATCGTTCTATAATTAATAAAAAACGTAACAATAATAATAATTGGTAGAGCAAACGGATTTACAAACTCACTTGGAATGTTTTTGAATTTTGACGTCACCGAAACGCCATTCGATGAAGGGTTTGGGTTGACCGACAAACAAACAGGGAAGTCGAACTTCAACTTTCCAAGGCACTACTATAACTCTTCCAAATGATATAATAGATGCAGGTACTAAAAAAAAAAATTTTTTTCGTTTAGACGAGAGGGCACACACACGTGACTTCCGTACGGTGTCCAAACTCACCCGTCGCGCTAGGAACTAAATGAACAAGCGGTGTACTTTGTCCCTGACCGATTTTGGTAGAAGCAACAACCCAAGCTTCATAAGTTTCTCTTTTTTTTAAACCGACAGCTTCGTAATGTAAAAGCTGAGCCGGAAGTGTACTTTTTATTATTTTCGTCTTAAAATATGCAAAAAATTAAAAAATTAAAAAAATATGTTTTTTCCATTCTGTTCGATCGAAAAAAAAAAAAAAAATTACTTCAGAACCCTGTTCCAAGACTCTTATGTAAACCGTATACTTTGTTAAAGCTCCATTTGACCTTTTAGGAGGTAGCCAACTGATAACAACGGTGCTATCAGAACTGACGACGGCTTTTATTGCCGAAGGAGCTTCCGGAACTGAAAATTAAATAAAATCCGATAAAATTTTTTTTGTTTGTTACTTTAATTACTTTAATTAATTAGTTAATTAAAATTACTCGATTCGTCGGTCGTACAAAAAACAACCGGACTTTTAACACCGTCACCGGCTCTTGTAAATGCCAATACTTGTACCGAATAATTTGTGTAAGGTTGGAGGCCGTGTAAATCAGCGGAAATCGATGAGACAACTTTATTTTCTCTAACGGAAGTGTCTGTAAAATCGATTTGTAGGAATTAAAAAATTTGATGACAATAGTAATGATAATAATAATGATTTAAATCGAATTTACCTTGAGTTTCATCCGTCGGCTCGTATAAAATTTTATAACCTTGAATAATTCCATGAGTGTGATAAACAGATGGTGGTGTCCATGTAACTTGTATGCTTTGTGCTGTTAATGCCGTGCACAGGACATTCTGAGGGGGTTCGCTAGGAACTGCAAAGAAAATACGATTTACGGTACAAACGATGTCGTAAAAGAAGGAGAAGAACAAAAAAAAATTTTCTACCATCTTCCATTGTTTCTCCGAGTACGGGTTCCGACGGTGGTCCTTCACCTTTTTCGTTAACGGCTCTAACGCTAATTAAATATTTAGTATATTTCAATAAACCCGTCAATCGAAAATCTCCTGGCATACCGGAAGTATCTGGAACGTGAGTCCAATTATATTCATCATTTTCCATCCTGTAATAAATTTACAAAAAAGGTTTTAAAAGGGTTTCGCGTTAAACATCAAAAAAAAAAAAATTATTTTTTTTACTTTAATTTTTTGATTCCGATGTTGTAACCTAAAATTTCACCGTTCCATAAATTTTTTTTCGGAGGATTCCAGGTTAAACGTAATGCTGTCGGAGACATAGGTTCGACAGATACCTGAAGAGGAGGACCAGACGGTGGTTCGCTTTTCGTAGAAGCCTGTAAAATAATTTAAAAACGAATAATATAATTATTTTTTCTTTCGGTAAATGGATAGGAAGTGACAAAACGTACCTGAAGGACGTCACTCGGCGGGCTTGTTCCCAATTGATTTTGTGCGTACAAACGAAAATGATAAACAGTCGCAGGTTTTAAATCAATTATGGTATCCATATTTTTTTCACCGTTGATTATTTTTTGAGAATTATGTTCGTGCCACATATCTATCGAGTTAAACATTAAAATCAATTAGGTACCCTTAAAAGTAAAAAAAAATAAACGCGTTCGTACCTTTGATTTCTTTATACTGAAGAATATAATTTGATATTTTCGTGTCTCCAGAAGTTATCGGTGGAAGCCAGGATACGGTTATCGATCTACTAGTTTGACTAGATGCATGAAGATTTTTTGGAGAACCTGGTAATTCTTTTCGTAGGAAACATAATTAATAAATCATATTTTAAAATATTTACTTGAATATATAGAGAGAAAAATATTTACCCTGAACTAATAAAAGAATGTTCATGTAACTTTGTCCGTATGAATTTTTGGCTGAACATACGTATTCGCCTCTATCGGATGTCTGAACATTTAAAATTGTTAATTCCGACATGAATCCTTTTAAGAGAGTGTTATTTTTTAAACGAAATCTGTTGGTGGGATAAAATTAATGACTTTCATTCCATAGATAAACGTATAATGGAATAATAAATTTTGGAGAAAAAAAAGGGTCTGGAGAAATTTTACCTTTTATTATAATCAGTGTTAATAACATCATCTTTTATTTTCCAGATAATTTCCATTGGTAAATCACCTTCAACCTCACATTCTAAACGTGTCGTTTCACCTTTTTTTCCTATTTCTTGTTTCGAGTGTATTTTAAATTTAGGACCGGCTAAAAGGAAAAACAAAAAAAATTTTCTTTTTTTCGTAATAAAAAAAAAGGTTTTAGAGGAAAATCATCTTACCGTGAACGACCAAATGAACAAATTTACTTTTTCCAGCACCGATTCCATTATTTGCTTCGCACATGTAATAACCTTCGTGTTCTTCTCCAGTTTTCCCTATTAATAATGTTCCATTTTCCAAACGTGTCATGCTCGGTGTGTGATAATTTAATTCTCTGTAATCTTCCGGACTCGGTTGATGATTTTTTTGTTTGTGATCTAATGACCCCCCCCCCAAAAAAAAAATTATTGTCTCATCTAACACGTCACCGGATGTGACAATCTTTATACTCACGTACCTAACGCTTGCTTCCACGTAATTGAAGGTTTTGGAAATCCTCCTGCTTGACAATGAAGTGACACAGGCCTACCCAAAATCACGCTCGTTTCTCTCGAAGGTTCCGATATCCAATATGGCGGAACTAAAAATTAAAAAAAAAAAAAATTATTATTATTCCTTCTATCACTCACTTTTTACTATTTTCTTTCTTTTTTTTTTTTTTAATTAATCCCGCCATCGATTCGAATAAAATTTTTTTTTCATAGTCAAACAATACAATATTAGTGACGTAATCAAATCGATGACGTTTTAATAATGACAATCAATAATAGTAATAATAATAATAATAATAATAATAAAGTGTGTTAATAAATCTAAAAAAAAAAAAATTTTTTAAAGCAATCTATACATTAAAAAAATAAGCTATGCATCAATAAAAAGAAATAATAATAATAATAATAATAATAATAATAGTGTAACCTAAAATGTTGTATTAAAAAAAATGGATATATATATATATACATAAAAAATAGATAAATAAATAAAATTATTTTATTAAATAAGTGTTTATCAGTGAATAAATGCAAAAAAAAAATTTAAATTGTTTTTATTAAACACAAATGTTAAATTTAAATTTTCTTTTTTTTTTTCTTAAAATTTTGCTGACGTCATTTTTTTCTTTTGTTATGTTTGTTTTGTTTGTTTTTGTTTTTGTTCCCCATACTCACAGTAATCGTGAGATTTAAATTTGTTTTACGATGAGAAAAAAAGGATCTATGCGATGCAAAATTTTAAGAAAAAAAAAAAAAGGTATTACCTGTTTGTGCAGGTGAGGTACATGTGCCATGTGTATACCCTGTGCTTGTGTCCGTGTGCCCAAATAATAATAATAATAATAATACTAATAATATATAACAACTCATATCTTCTACATTTTTTTTCTTTTAATCATATTTACTTTTCACATGTTTTTAAAGTAATGAATGAGTGAATGAATGAATGAATGAATGAATGTTTTCGTAAAAATATTAAAAAAATAGTTGTAAATTTTCCAGAATGTGATTCGTTTTAATCCCGGAATTTTATTGACATTCTCTCCCTCCCTTTTTAAAAAAAAAAAAAAAAAAATTTTTTTACTTTCAATTTTTTGTTTTTGTGTTTTTTTTTTATGAAGTGTTGTTTTTCTTCTGTACAACCTTTTTTTTTCTTACTTTATTTCTTTTTCATTTAGAGAGGAAGAGGTTACATCGGTACTCACCGCTGACCGTTAGATTTGCCGTATATTGTGCAAGACCGGCTTCGTTTTTGACGAAACAAGTATAATTTCCACTGTGAGCGGAAGTGGTTGTATCTATCGATAATATGCTTGAAAAAGGAGGGAAATCACTTATAATTATTCCAAAATCTTCAATTCCGTGTCCGTCTTTTTCCCAATAGATGTTAAACGGTCGATCTCCTTCGCTCACGGAACACATAACTTGTGTTCTCATTCCTTTCGTGATTTGATTTTCAAAGTAAAAAGGAGATATTCTCGGAGGGACTGAAATGCAAATATTTTACAAAAAAAAAAAAATAATAATAATGATAATAATTATATTTAATCAAAGCAAGCATCGTACCCTTGTTGTTTATTTGTTGACGTACGCGTTTCGACTTAAGCTATGTGTTTGTGTACGTGTGTGTGTGTGTGTTTGTTTTTTTTTTTTTTTTTTTTGTTTCAATTACTTATCCGACAAAAGCTAAAAACACATAATAATAATAATAATAAAAGAATGCAAGTAAATATTTTATAGGCGATTTCAGAGGCGATCATACAAAATCAATCATGACGATATCAAGCAGGTAGTAATAGTAGTACGTATCGATATAGACTAAGGGTGCTACTCTTACACGACAACAAGACATAAGCAAAAAAAATAAAAGAAATAGAAAAACGGAAAAAAATTTTTTTTTTTGGTTGTGTGTATGGGAATCGTTACCGTTGACTCTTAGCGGGGCCGTGTGAGAAACTGTGGCTGCCTGATTGGATACCAGACACGTGTAATTTCCGCTGTGATTAGACGCGATCGCCCTAATGCTGAGAGCGCTTGTGAAAGGATCGTAACGTCGTACTGTTATCGTGTCGCTTTCTGGTGGCGGTTCTCCGTCCTTCCGCCATGTAAAAGACAAAGGTAGGTCTCCGGAGACAACGACACATTGAACACTTATTCTATCTCCTAATTTTAAATCATGGGCAAATGTGAAAGGTGTTATTTTGGGTGGTACTGAAATACATAAACGAGTAGAGTGTATGATAAAGTTGTTTTTTTATATATTTTTTTTTCGCACAAAAACAACACGCAATGTTATGCGTGCGTTTACAAAAAAATAAAAATAAATAAATAAAATAAATAAATAAATAAAAACATACATGAAAATAAAATAATAATAATAATAATTATCGTGTTATACTCAAAAACAATGAATAGGTAGTAGATATTTTTTTTTTTTTGATGTTTTTTTATGTTTGTAAGTGTTTTATTGTTTCAAAACATAAATAAATCCTTGTTTAATTTAACTTACTCGGTAATAATAAGTGTTTTCGATATATATAACATTAACGACATCGATTAACATGCGTGTGTTTTTTTTTTTTTATATTAAATTTTCTGTAAAAAATTATCATTATTATGTAAAATTTTTGTTGTTTTTCTTTCTTCTTCTCTTATTCGTTTACTAAAAAAACTTACCTTTCGTTTTATTATTTTATTTACTCTATGAAATTTTTTTTTTTCAAGTAAAAATTTTTTTTTATTAAAGATTAAAAAAAAAAAAAAATTTAACTTATAACTCACCGATAACTTTAACTTGTACGGTTTTGTGTGAACTATGACCTTGTTTGTTTTTAGCCGTGCATGTATAAGATCCTTGATCGGTATCTTTTTGTACGTTTTCTATAGATAAAGTATTGTTAATAACTCTTTGACGTATGGAAGTCGGAAGTTGAACGCCATCTTTGAAATTGGAAAAAAAAATTCATTTTTTTTTGGGGGGGATGTAGGGAATTTTCAGTGGGTTTTTTTTGTTACCTTTTTCCCAAGACACGGAATCAATAGGATATCCGGCAACGGGACATTTAATGATAAGAATTTTTCCAGCGACGGCAGATATCGAGGGCATTGTTCTAACGTATGGAAGACCGTAAACGTTTAATCTAGCAGAATGTGACGTTTTTCCGGCGCGATTTTCCGCCACGCATTCGTATTCGCCTCCATCTTCCGTTTTTATTGATGATATGTTAACGTGACTGACGACATCTCCGAAAACTGTCACGTATTGTCCAATCATGAGCCTGTCGCTATGATAAAGAGGAAAACCGTCCAAAAGCCAAGAAATGTGTGGCGTCGGATTACCGGAAGCGCTACATTTGAGTGATACCGATGGACCCGGTTGCATCGTTTGTTCAATGAACTTGTACAAAAGTTGCGGATAAACCTCTAAAAAAAAAATTATCAAAACCTGACATTTCGAGAGAAGCCATTTTTTTTTTTTTTTTTTTTTAAAAAATTATTTAAATAAAAAAAACCTCCGAGTTGTAATTCGGTTGACCCTTGACTCATTTCAAATTCATTTTTTATCATGCACTGATACATTCCCTTATCTTCTTTCGATACCGAATATATTTGAATTTGCGTATCCGATATTTGTCTTATTCTTGAATTAAATCTTAACATTTGTCCATCTTTCAACCAATAAATTGAAGTTATCGGAAATCCTTTTTATAAAAAAAAAAAAAAAAAAATAAATTATTTAAATTTTTTGAAAGGATAACCATAAAAAAAAGAGAGAGGGAGAGAGAAACAAATTGACAAACCCTGATAAGAACATTGAAATTCCGCCATTTTTCCAAGATGTACGGATTGCGTGGAAGGATGTACGTGAGCCGAAAGTGGAGCCGTAACGACCAAATGCATTTCCAGTATTTCACTGCCTTCTTTATTTTTAGCCCTACAATAATACGTTCCCTGATTCGATATCTTAACGTTCGATATAACTAATATTCCATCTTGTACGATAAAACCTTCTTCGTTAACTATAATCGTATCCTCTTGATTCTTTTTATAAAACCACCTAAAAAAAAAAAAAAATCGAATTTAACTTAAAATGGAGGAGGCGGAGAGGAAAAAGGAGGAGAAGGAGGGAAAAATCCGATTTATTCATTCATTCGTAATTGTTTAATAATAATAATATGTCGTCTTAGGTTAATATAAAAGTCGTGTGTGTGTGTCAGACCTGCCAACCATAACTGACAAAATTCAATTCGAAACGTAAAACATAGGGGGGGGGGTGGACAAAATGGCTGACAAGAGTAAAAATTTTGTTTTTTCGACATTTTTTTCTTTCTTTTTCTTCTCTTATTTCTTTATCATCATTTAAAAGATAAAAACTCTGAAAAAAAAAAAAAAATTTCCCGTGAATTTTCCCGCGTCATTTAATTTCACGCAAGTCTGATGATAAAAAAAAAAGCAGACGACTAAAAAAAAAAAAATTTTTTTTCTTCCTTTCGCGGTTAATTGCGTGCAGCAGATACGGAATTAAATAATAATAATAATAATAACAAACCTTTTTTTTTTGTCTAAAAATAAAATTACTTTATTCTAGACGTTGGATAGGATTTATATTACGGGTAATAAAATTTTTAATCCTTAAAATAAAAGTAATAATATTTATTACGTATGATTCACACTCCTCACGCGCCCTCACGCACACACAAATTTCAGTTGCGTTTGTTATCACAGGAAGTGATAAAATGAAAACGAACAAAATTGATAAAGAAAATTTTTTTTTTCTTCTCCAGTAAAATCGATATAATAAAATCGTTTGTTTCGTTATTTTTAAAATATATCACGTTTTCTCCTGGATGAATTCCATGATAATAATAATAATTTTTGTAAACTTACTCGTATGTCGGTCTAGGATTTGCATAAGCAACGCAAGGTGTCGCAATGGTCGAACCTTCTTTAACAGTTAATACTTCAACCTTTTTGTTTAAAATCGGTGGCACGAAACCTTTCATATCTATTAAAAGAAAAAAAAAAGGATTTATTACTTTTATCGATCGGATTTGACATTTTTTTTCCTTTTCTTAAAACTCTTGAATAGGTTAAACAATTTTTCCTTTTTTTTTCCTTTTAATATAAAATTTTTCCTTAGAATTTAAAAAAAAGGTTCTTACATTTTTCCTTTTTTTTTCATCTTCTTCTTGTCAATTCATTATTATTTCTTTTTTTTACCTTTTTTTCCTTTTGTTTCCTTTAAGATAAAATAAAAAAAGGAAATTTTATCCAAATTAAATGACTTAAAAGAAATCGCGATGATGATAATAATAATAATAATATATCTCGAAAAGAAATTTCGCACCGAAAAAAATAAAATTTGAAATACGTGAACCGTAAATAAAAATTCGACATTGGTTCGATTTTTTTCTTTTCAAAATTTTTTTTTACGTTTTAATAATTTTTTATCCCTCCCCTTTCCTCCCTCCCTTCCTCTCCCCTCTACAGTTTATCCCGGTTTATTTCTAGACGACAACGACGACAAAAAAAAAAAGAAAATTTTCTTTTACCGCTCAATTGAATTTTTCCTTCGTTTCTGCTAACTGTCGCTTCTTGCGTGAGCCTGTGATGAGTTCTACATTTATATGATTTTTCCGAATCTTCTTTTGTTACGTTTATTATTATTAATTCACCTGTTGGTAGCATGTGGTATTTACCATCTGGAAAAGAGTAAAAAAAGTTATTGGGAGGGAAAAAACCGGGGGCCGGCGACGGGACGGAAAGGGGCGGGGAAAAAATTTACCACTTATGGTGGACGGATAAATATTAAACGTTGGTATTTGAAGCCATGACGTCACAGAAACAAAATCTTTCACGAAAGAAGGCACGCTACATCGGAAAATAACATTATTACCGACGAATCCTCCGGGACTTTGAACTTCAGGTTCGTACCTTTGATTAACGACTGAAAAAAAAAATAACAAAACTTTAATTATTTATTATTATTATTATTAATTAAAAACTATTAAAAGTTTAAAAATAAAAAACAATAAATACAGAAGATTATTTTGTTTGAGACGTTGATTGACCGTCGTCGTCGTGGAATAAGACAATAGAAAAAAAGAAAAATTTACTATTTTTAAAATCATTAAAAAAAAAAAAAGAAAAAAGAAAGAAAATTCAATTCATTCTTCCTCTTTCTGTCTGTCAAATTGATATAAAAAGAATTGAAAATGCCAAAAGCAAAAAAACAGTTTCATCGATTGATAAAAAAAAATTTTTTTTCTCTCTCTCTCTCTTTCTTTCTTTTTCAGTCACAAACAAAATTTAATTTTCGTTTACCGCCATGATGACGGAAAAAAAAAAAATTTTTTTTTTTTTTGAGATTTTGATGCGTTTCCGTCATCGTTTCGCGATATAGAAAAAAAAATGCCTGATTTTTAACATCCTTTGTCATCACGTGTTTCATAACAACAACAACAACAATAACAAAAATCTTTGTTATCTTCTGTAAACACTTTCTTTTTATAACAAAAAAAAAAAATGTTTTATTGAATTTATAAAAAGAAGTAGAGAGGGGTGGGAAAGGGTGGGGGCCAAGAAAATTTCTATTATTTTTTTTTTACCTCAAATACATAAATAATAATAATGATAATAAATTTTTAGTAAAAGATTACGAAATATGAATTTTTTATTTAAAAAAAAATTTTTTTTTATTGTTTCTTTACAATCGATTGATCGATCGATCGATCGATCGTTGATTTAAATAAAAAATTTTTTTAAAAATATAATATAATATTTTAAAATATTTTTTTAATTTATAAAAATAATTAAAATCGTTCGAGTAGTCGATCCGCCATTTTTTTTTTTTTTTAAGCAAACGCAAACTTGTTTTATAAAAAAAAAATTTATTATCGTCAATTTTTCGGCAACAAACATTTAACGACAAACAAACAAAAATATTTTTAAAACTTTTACCTTATTTTTGAAGGTAGGGGGAGGGGGTGCGGGTAGACGGGGGGAAAAGAATGCTCCTCTGGTATTTTACTTTTGAAACGAAGTATGGGGGGAAGCCAATAAACTTTTATTTGCAAGATTTTCATTACTTCATTTAAGAATACGAATAATAATCAAAAAATAATAAAAATAATAATAATAATTCGATTCTCCTTCAACGTCAGCAATATTTTTTTTTATTACGCGTCTTTGTACTATAAGCAAAATCGTTTTTTTTTTTGTCTAATCAATAATTATTATTATTATTATTATTATTATTACGGAGTGCAAAAATCTTTAATAAAAAAAAATTAATAAAAAATAAAATTTAATTATTGTTGCTAATTAAAACTTTTTTTTATTAAAATTTTATCCCAAAATTAAAAATTTAAAAATAATAATAATAAAAATAATAAAAATAATAATAATAATAATAATAATAATAATAATAATAATAATAATAATAATAATAATAATAATAATGACGACGACATACGTAAAACTTAGGAAAAAAATCAAAAATCGGTTAAATAATAAGAAAAAAAAAAAATGAGGACGAATTTTCTTTTTATTTTTTTTTCTCCTTATCAGGTACATACTGGATTTAAATTATGTCATCACGTGATTCAATTACGTCACGTGAAAATATTATTTTTTTAATTATCACCAAATAAACAAACAAAAAAAAAATCATGACATTAAAATATCTCTTTTTTACGCGTATTTATTTATTTATTTATTAATTGATAAGAATTATTATTTTTTTTAAAAATTTAATTATTATTAACTTTCACGCGTATATACATACGTTTTCTGTTATCAACGTCATGAAAAATTATCATCATCATTATTATTTCGTACAAAAAAAGAAATTTCATTTTACATAACAATAAATAAATAAATAATTTACACGACGGTGATTTTCAAACAATAATATTCGTTTGAATAATAATAATAATAATAATGCTAAAACAAGGATGTAATAGAGTCAATAAAACAAAAAAAAAACAAAACAATGAACAGACGAACGACTACGATAACAGACAGCAATGCAAAAAATTTCGACAAACAAACAAACAAACATCTGGGACGTTAACTGATGATTGTTTTCGATGTTAGTCGGTTCTGACGGTTGGTTGGTTGTTTGATTTGTTCATAAATAAAAAGCGAGAAAAAAAAGTTAATTAAAAAAATTTTTTTTTTTATTTCTCTTCTTTTGTTTTAATAAATAATAATAATAATAATAAATAAATGAATTATTTCATATTGGTTTCGAGCATTCTTGCCGCGGCGGGTTTCATAGCGACCGTTTTTATTTTTTACGTTAATTACATAACAATCGAAGGTGCCGGTTATGAAATGATAAAACAAAAAAATTTCAATTCCAAAATGAAAGAATTTATGGAATCCGAATCGGAGGATGATAAAAAAATTGTTTTAAATCAAGATGGAAGTTTAACTTTACAAAATAATCATCATCATCACGGTTTAACTGATTTTATTTTAAATATACAAAAATAATAAAAACTGGATAAAAACAAACTGGAAATAATCGGACTGGATGGAAAATGGATTTCGGTAAAAAGGAAAAACATTTCCTACCATATATGACGTGAATGAATTTTTCTTTTATTTTATTTTTTTACCTTTTTCCCACCCCCCCCCCCGCTTTTCGAAATATTTTTTTGTTCCTCGTCTTTTCCAGATTCTCTTCCCTTCGTTCCAGATTTTTGTTTTTGTTTAAAAAAAAAATTATTTATCGTGTGCGCGTTTAGGAAAAATATCGAATATAAACAATAAAATTTTTTGTTTTTTTTTTTTGGAGAATATAAATAATAATTATTCGAGAGTGAAAATTCCAGGTTGTTGTTATTATTATTATTATCATTATTATTATTATTACCATTGTTTATTTTTATTTAACCGTTATTAGATAACCGTTGTTGTCAGTTTTAAATAAAAAACTGGAAAAATTCCACGAATTTTATAAATTTTTTTTTCTTTGGTTTTTGTTATCATTATCATTAAAAAAAATTTTTTCGGGGGGGGAGGTCGAAAGTGGGGGGGGGTCATTATAAATTGTTTTTAATGATAAAACATTTTATTTTATATATATATAGCAAATTGTTTATAGTCTTTATAAAAGTTTTTTTTTTTTTTTATATACGTCGAACTTAGAAAATCCCTTTTTATTATTTATTACGTCATTCTCTCTTACGTACTCTTTAATAATAATAATAATAATAATAATAATAATAATAATAATAATAATAATAATAATAATAATTTTACTCTTTTTAAATTTAAACTTTTCCAAAAAAAAAAAAAAATATGTCGCAGGTGTTTTTACTTTTATCAAATTATTACGTTTTTTTTTTTAAATTTACACCTGATAAAACTTGTTAAAATGTAATTTTTTTTTTTATTATTAAAGTAATAATAAATGTAAAAAAAAAAAAAGTTTTTAAATTATTATTATTATTTTTTTTTTTTTTTTTTAAAACTAATATTTTAGTATGTTTCCGTCCCCATTTTTGTTTTTTTTTTTTTCGTTATTTTTCATTTTTAATTATTAT